CTCTCAAAATTTTCCTGACTTTCTAACTATGCGACAAGAGCTGTTACAAATTCATCCAACTAGTCGTTAACTTTCCCATGGGAACGATTCTTGTACTCTGAGTGAAATTAATGATATTCTGACATTATACAATACGTCATTTGACAGATAAAACCTTGACTTTCTATTGGTTATAGGTAATATATAATGAAATGTATGAGAGAACTATCAACAAATTGTGAAAGAGAGGATGTGACAGGTGGGTGTGGCAGGAGGGGTCTGATTTTCTATTCAATAGCTCTGTAACCAAACAAAATTGAAGGCTATAAAAATTATGGTTTGTTTGAGCAATAACGATTTTATAGAAAGTATTTTATATTTAATTTCATACGTTATTTAGTTCATTACTATCGTTAGTATAAAAAATGTAGAGTTAAGTGTCATCGACGATTGACAGCAAGAAAAAAGAAGATTGGGTAAGTATTTTATTTCTTGCTTTTCAGGCTTATTCTTTATTTATTATTAGAAAAGTAACTAAAATGTAAAAATAGGGATCTTTTTAGTTTAATAAAGGCTAGATTAGGTAAAATAAACGATAATAATAATAATATAATAAAATTATTTCAAGAGGCACACACCTGAGCAGCTCAGAGTAGCTCATGGGTAATGTAATTCAACAGCGTAATTTGAGTTGCACGTTCCACAGGTGATTTATAACTTATAATGGCATGAACATTAGTTAGATACGGTTCCAAGGGCAAAAAAAGGCAATAAAATTTAATCATAAATATATGTATACTGTTACAAGTTTATAGCTACTTAGGATAAACAAATGTAGTTTCACGCTATTTTTGAAGTCATACTAGAAAGAAAAAGAGGGTAATTTAGATTTTTTTTTGGTGGTTATGAAGTTGATCAAATTGCCCAATCCTGTATAGAGATAGGGTAGAGAAAATAACAGACAAAATATAAAATGTTACTGAAAAAAAAACGTTTAAATGTATTTAGAAGATTTTAGTGATTACACAAATGGAATTTGAGATTTTTGAGATGAAGAAAAGTATTTTTGAGTTTAACATTAATATCATTTTTTTCACACAGACTCTTCAAAACAAATGCACAATATATTCAATGTCAAATCTATTTTTAGCTTATTAAAGATACTCCACTAAAAATAAGATTTTTTGTATATGAAAGACTGCTAAATTTCATGAAGATATACACATTATATTAAAAGTTAGTAGTATTAGATCTATAAGGACTTTGAATAAGTACAAAGAGGTCACATGGTTTGTCAAATTGACCAAGCCCATGTTGAGAATTAAACCTCCAATGAAAACTTCTGTGCTCAAGATGTTCAAAATCTTGCATTAAACGAAGAGTTACTAAAATGTAAAGGTAAACTAAGGGTTACAAAATATCCACATCATACATTTATAAACACTAACTCCTATATTACACATTCTAAAGTGTTTTATTCTTCTCACATATAAATCTTTACTGAAAACAGTGCTTTATTCTATGTATCATTTGTTTCAAAACATTTAAATCTGATAATAATGTAACCTAATCATGTGAAAAATACTTACATAAAAATCTGGAAGCAATTGCTCAGGACAATTAGGCCCAGTTCGTCTAGATTTTATTTCACACTGAATATCTCCTTCTACATCAAGCTTAGACACAACTTCACTTAATTTATCACAATCCTGTATTAAATAGAAAATACATAAAACATCCAATGCTCTTCCAGCCAGAAAGATTAAAAACTGTACTCGCAGAGAAAGATATGAACAAAAATGTGTTATATGTTTTGTAGATGGTAATTTCTACATATTTTGTCACGAATGGCTTAGTTCTAGCTTAGCATTGGAAAAATAGATTATTTCATTCAAAAGCATAAAAAAACGAATGGTTCTAATACATGATTAAATACTTCTCCAAGCAATAAAAACATTTTCAAGTAATATTATCTTTAAGAAAGTAAATACCTGATTGATGAGAGAGCTTAAGTGTATTGCTGAGATATCTTTTCTCACACTCAATCTACCAAGAATTTTTCCAAAGAAAGCAAGAAGTTTGAAAAATAATCTAATCAAAATTCAGGGTCCAAAAAAAATAGCTTAAAAATTTCAGCAAAGAGGTACTGTGACACAGAATGTAAAATACTTGTTTGTTTGTTCATTGTTAAGCACAAAGCTACACAGTGGAATATTTGTGCCCACCATGGGTATTGAAACACAGTTTTTAGCATTATAAGCCTTCAGACTTACCACTCGGGGCATAAACCACTGGACAGTTATAGTAAATTTAAAACATTTTCTTCATAGCCAACACTTGGAACCTTTACATGGCAAGAAAGAATTTCAAAGTCATAAAGTTTAATTACTTTTGTATTTATTAAAACAGGAAAGATAAAGCTAACAACTTGTTTCGAGTTTAGGTTGAGAAGTGATTTATGTAATTTTTATTTTGACATTTAACAAAATAAAGTAATTTTAAAATCAATATGTATGTACAGAATAATAAAAATACCACAAAAACCTAACAATATGAAGTTAAGCTTTGACAGTATTAAGGAACAAAGAAGACTTGGAATTTAATATTTAGTCAGTTACACAATGAACTGCACGATGATTAAAAAACATTTCAAGAATAGAAAGATCATCTATGTTATTGTAAGTGAATTATAAGCATATTTGTACAACATAAAAATTGGCAACAAAATTAAGTGGCATACCACATTACAGTACATACAATTTGCTTTACATTTTACCTTAAAGTGATATTAGTATTTAAGTTATTAAGGAATCTTTTTCCTGGTTAGTTGATAGGGAGATAGATATGTATACATGTATAACATCACAGAGAAGTTGGGTTTTTTGCTATAAAAAATGTAGCAAGTTGAGAGTTTCACAGTAGAACAACAGTATATATTATTTAGCATGACAGAAAAGTTGCTTACTAATTGTAAACAGTGTAGCAAGCCAAGAGTTTCACAGTAGAACAACAGTATATAGTATCTGGCATGAGATAAAAGTTCTTTCTTTGTTGCAAACAATGTAGAAAGCCAAGAGTGTCAGTAAAACAACAGTATATGGTATCTGGCATGAGAGAAAAGTTCTTTCTTTGTTATAAATAATGTAGCAAGCCAAGAGCTTCAGTAAAACAATAATATATATAGTACTTGGCATGACAGAAAAGTCGTTTTTTGCTGTAAACAATGTTGTAAGCCAAGATTTTCTATATGGTGTCTGGCATCTTTTCTGTAACAATGTGGCAAGCCAAGTTTCACAGTAAACACTAAATAGATAATTGTATATGATGTATATTAATGTGAAAGCTGTATTAATCCTTTAAACTAATTGATCCACTATTATCTTAACAAACATGTATATGAAAATGGCAACTGAAATGTACTTTTTTTATAAGATTTCTAGCAAACAGCTACATTTTCTACATTCACTTTTATAGCAAAAAGGGGTGGTATATTCAAAATAATTGTTTTATCCAAAGTACTGCTAATAAATTAGCATATAGGACCATGCTATAAAGTGGAAGTTCATCCAATGTTATCCAAACAGATGACTAAGCTTTTAAAAGACATAAAAGTACCAAAGCAAAGTGGAAACAAAAAGCAAGAGGAAATGCTGGTGAGAAAATAACTTTTTTTTTCTGTGGCAACAGTAATGTTGGTTTTGTCTTGATTTATATTTTGAATTGTTTCATGATTATGAGGAAAAATGAACTTTTAAGAAACTAAGTTAGATATCAAACTTTTCATTTTGTGGATTAATTTCTTTCTAGTTCTACTGCTATCAAAGTTGTTATGCCAAAAATTTGATTATATAACAGTTGTCTCAGATCATGAAAAACAATTTAATTTTTTTGTTTTAATTAAACTATGGATACTAGATAACAACAAAAACTATTCAAACTATGTATATTTTTATTTTTTTTCCCCATAGTCCTTGCGGACCGTCGAGCCAATGGCAGATCTTGCTCTGCCAGCGTTTCTAAAGCTGTTTCTTACGTCAAGGATGCAACCCACTTGCC